TTCATAATATATTCATAATATATTCATAATATATTCATAATATATTCATAATATATTCATAATATATTCATAATATATTCATAATATATTCATAATATATTCATATATTCATAATATATTCATAACATATTCATAACATATTCATAATATATTCATAACATATTCATAATATATTCATAATATATTCATAACATATTCATAACATATTCATAATATATTCATAATAAGAGATATAATAATATATATATATTATATATGTATAATAATATGATACCCATGACATCTTCACCCATCACCCAGACGCCAGGCCTGGGCGGCTCAAGGCCTTGGCAAAGAGCACCTGGCTGTGGCCTCCAGCGCCATGGTGGCGGCTGCCAGGGAGCCCAGCTGCGAACCGGAACCGGGCGGTGATCGAAGCGGTTTATTGGAGGGTACCCTCTGGTAAACATACAAAAAACGATGGAAAGATCCACCATTTTTAATGGGAAAATCCACTAAATCACAATTTTTCATGGGAAAATCCACTATTTCTATGGTCATTTTCAATAGCTATGTTAGTCATTACCAGAGGGTAAATCATCAAAGTCTTAGTTTTTTTTGGTCATTTTGATGATTTACTGGAGGATGTTATTTCGATGATGTATAACATACTAGTGAATGAGGACATTGAAATAACATACCAGTTCGCAAAAGTCTTCGTTTACTGGAGGATGTTATTTCAATGATGGAGAATTCTTGGCTGACTGAGACACTTTGTGGGCTGATGACGATTTTTGCAGGGTATCTAAAGTGGGCTATGATGGAAAATGTGGTAGAACTGTTAATTTCGGGGTCAAACACCCGGGTAGTGTTGTTGTTGCTGTTGCTGTTGCTGTTGTTGTTGTTGTTGTTGTTGTTGTTGTTGTGGTCGTCGTCGTCGTCGGCGTCGTCGTCTTTATATATTTTTCCGGATGGGATTGCTCTCAACTTTTGAAGCTGGAATCACTATGGCTTTCAGCACTTAAAGTGATCATATTTTTTGGGTGGCTCAAGCATCCAAACATGGCGGGCCGCGAAATCCCCGTAGCCGAAATGGAGGTTTGAGTCGGAAAATCATCGAACTCAATGGAGTTTTTTTAGATTTACAACAGTCTACAACAGGGTATATCATAACATTCTACATTTTTCACATATATATCTAGATAAATATATATATATAATCTTTCATGATATACATATATTGTAACATTTTATTGTACATTTTGTCATGATGACATTTTACATGTATTTTTTTTCCCAACATCCCCGTGATATACATATGATGAAACCCTGTTCCCTGGGTGACTCAACTATCCAGCTGAAACATCCCTATTTTTGCATCAACCAGTTGATTCGACCTAATGCAACTGGCGATAACAAATCAGTTGTTGCTTATGTATCCCATGAATCATTTTGATCAACTTGTAATGGAAAAACATATACAGGTTGCTGATTTCGCGATACTGTACCCAATTGGATTCTAAACTCAATACTTGCAGGATCATCCCCTGGATCGTAACTCGTTACAATCGTTGTTAAGCCCTCATTTCTCGGGTTAGCCATTTGTAGCCTATTTATGGTTTATAATTGGCTTACAACCATAAAGCCCCTAAGTTTAACATAATTAACATCACCATTTATAACTTTATAAATGCATACTTAGTATTCACTTCCCCTCAAGTTGAACGGAGTTGGTTTGGAAGGTGCGTCCCCGTGTGGAACGCCTCAAGCTGGGAGTGTGGCCAACGGAGGGGTTGCCGAAATGGCGGAGTTTGGGGCGAGGTATCAGCCACCATGAATAGCCAATCATTATATGAATGGATTATGATTATACCATGAAGAGGTGTAATGAAGTATTTCATGATAGGTTCATGAAATCACCCTTTTCGCCAAGCAATGATGCTTGAAATTAATGGGATAAAGATGAATAAGGTCGATTCTATTGAGCATATGTCCAGGAATACGGGTGGAATTTCGGAGACTTGATGGGTTGAGTGATTTGGCCCCTTAAACTTTTGCAGAATGTGTGCAACCGACAGACAGTACCAGCTGGCCATTTGTGATTCTTGGGTGCCCCTTCCCAATGAACAACCAGCTGGCACCCCTGGGTATGTTGCCGATGTTGCATTTAGTTACGCAGCTTACCAGCTGGCCATCCAGCTGGCCATCCAGCTCAAGTTTTGCTTGTTGGTTCTTGCTGCATGTTTTTTCTTTTTGCCCCATCTCAAGCACCCTTAAAAAGCTACAGAACAGTACTTCCATTTAATTTACCACTAATTTTCGGTATTGGCTGGGGACACCCACGTGATGGTTTACCTCTCAAATTCATCAAACAAATACTGTAGCGATAATTCACCAGCATTTTATAATATTTTATATAGCAACCCCCATTTATTTTGCTTTTCACCATCATTTTATTTTTTGGGTCCCAGGGTTACCATGGGTTACCCATGTTTTCCGGTCTCTTGCAGGAGGGCGTACTGGAAGTTCCGCCAGGTGGAGGACGCCTGATTCAAGTCTTGGAGGACTGGTGGAGACACAGGAGCTTGATGACACTATCATATTATGTATATATCATATATCATATATATATACACACCATTTTATATAGCATTAATATATATATATATAATATTATATATATATATATTGATGTATTATATTAATTGGTAGACTGGTATTATTAAACCATAGTATGTCAATATAGTAGTAGACTGGTATCATATATGCTGATTCTGAGCTGATGATGTGAGATCATGCAATTTTCCGGGGTAAAAGGAATTTGAGCTCCATATCTCAGTGGGGTTACCCGCATGAAAATCATTGAACCTGTGAAACCAGACCCTTTTCCAAACATTGCATGTGGCACGTTGCAGTGTGTCGGCCTCCGTGTTGGATTTCAGTGGCTTGCCCCCTATGAGTTGCTTGAGGTTCCATGGATTCATGTCAGTTTTTCCAGAATCATATCACACAGTTTTTCTAGCTGCGGATTCTGATGCCTTTTTCCTTTCTCCAGAATCATATCACACACATATATATATGATATATATATATATACACATATTATATATATATATATATAACATATATATATATACACAACATATATATATAACATATATATATAACATATATATATATATATTATATAATATATATATAACATATATATATAACATATATATATATAACATATATATATAACATATATATATAACATATATATATATAACATTATATATATTAAACGTTTGTTTTTTCTTTTTCGCTACACATCTAGTAAAAATAGGGTGGCACACGCGATGTTGATCATTTTTTATTGGGGGGCCCGTAGCTTTGGCAAACACCCACCACAAAAACGGTGCTACGCGAGGCACTCGACCGAGAGGCGAGTCGCTATCGCGCCAAGTCGGTGCGCAGGGCGAGTCGCAGACGTGGGAATTTGGCATTTTGACCGGAGAAAATGAGGGTCTAAGAGTCTAAGCAACTCAAATCTGCACGCGGGATTTTCTTACTCAGTGTTTCTTGGTGATGGTAGAAGTTTCTAGTGATGATGATCTCCATGAAACTGATTGGGTTTATCCCCCATGGAATATTCTTGAATTGGTTGAAGGGACAATTCTAGGGAACGACAGGAACCCCATGGAACCCCATGGAAGCCTGAATGAGTTGGGGGTCAAAACATGTTAAATCATGTGAAAACCCTTGTTTCAACCCTTGTTCTCCAGGCCTCACTGGAGCCATTGGTCGACATCTTGGTGCCTCACGTTGCTACCTGGCCCCACCTGGCCGCACCATTGCCCCAGGGAACCTCGGAACAGGGGGAGTTGTTTCATCCATCCGGTCGTGACTGGTTTAGTGCCACACGATTACAAGTGGCTTGTTTCAGTACAAGGATTTCCGCCAGCATGAAAGGCAGGAGATCTTGATATGTATACATATAATTACATATATACATAGCTCATGACACTGGTTTTTATCACACCGAAGTGATGCGTTTTTGCAGAAACCATGGAGTTTTAGGATTGACATGGGACTTTTGACGCTGAACAAAATCCGCCACAACTCGGCCCGGCTAAGACTGCGGCGCTGACGGAAAGTTTGAAGACCTTGGACCGAGACATCACGTCCCACGCGCTGGAGGGCAGTGCTGTCCTCGGTTGGGTCTGGGCTGTTGGGGCAGGGCACTGATACTGGCAGTCTCCATGGTGATTATGTCTTTGCCATTGGTGGTGATAAGCTTCATTTGCGCGTAGTTACTGTATCCCAAAAAGGATTTTCAACATTCTTCTTTCATCCCTACACTGGTGATTTAATGTTGCAGGTGTTAAATCCCCAACCTTGCTGTCATGACATCCCCAATCCCCGAATGGATAAACAGTTGGATTCTGGCAATCATCTACAAAATTATCCTGGACATACCTTTTCCATCTATGTCGAATCTATGTGATGGTGGGGCTTCCTTTTTTGGTTCTGCCAGTGGCCTCTCTCCAGCCTGTGACTAAGATCCCACATCGATCTTCGTCCCCTTACAGCCGCCCACCACCATCTTTTGCGAGGCCTGCTTGGAATGGGACCACAGGGTAATGGTCAACTCAAACTGACATGGTATATACTGCTGCACATATCTATATATATATATGGCTATGGATCAATACCTATACATACCATTTTTACGGGGATGAACATCCATTTACCAGCTATTTTGATGTTCACCAGGGGTACAAGGTTTTGACCCATCCCCATATATCTATATTTGTATCTATATCTATATCCATATCCACAATATATGCTGTATATATATATATACATTGTTGTCTTTTAATGGGTTACTGTACTGTATTCGCTTGACAGTTGTTGAATGACCTTGGGCGATTTTTCAGCCCGAACATCTACAGTAAGCGATCCATTGGTGGAAAAAAACCATTCGTCTTCATGGTTCAGATTCTGACAGTTCAATTTCCAAGTCGCCGTACCTTAGACAAAGCGATGTTAGATTGATATAGATTCTGACTTATTAATATATATCTATAGATATATAGGTATTCTAATATCTTATCAATAGGTATATCTGTTAATTGTTCATAGGTATTGATATTAATATAGAATAGGAGCCCAAGCGCAACCAGATTCTGACCGTCTACGGTGCGCCATTTCCATGTCATTACTCGGGGTCGCATCTCCAACGTGGCACTGGAATCCACTGTAATCCTGCAGCTGGTCGCTTCAAAGCTTTCCCAGGGCTATCTTATGTGGCTTTGTCTGAAAATCAGGTACAGTTGATGATCCAACAGTTGATCATCAATTTCATTCAATTTCCACATGAAACTGCTCATTTTTTGGGGGTAAAACTGGTAAAACATGTCAGTCCTATTGTTGCTATGTCCGACATCCATTTCTGAAATAGGCCTCACGTTATCATGACATCCCTGGGGGGATGATCCAGAAAAAAAAATCCCAGCTATGTTGGTTGAATATGTTGCTGGGGTCATAACATGTACCATGTTATAACCCACGAAAATCAATGGGATACCAATGGATACCATGGGTTTCAAAAAAATGTCTGCTTTCGGGGTCGAAAATTTGAGAACATCACCAAGTATTCCGAATGGAGATGATGCCCCCGTTGGGTGATGTTTGAATGACATTTACCAACTCCTGGACAACACTAGGAATTGGGGATTTACTAAGAATCAATTTTCATAAATCCAAATATCACCTCACATCACCAAGCAATACCCTCTGGTTATTTAACAGTTCGCCATGGAAGCCATGGCCCATAGAAATAGATGGTTTGCCTATTAAACATTGTGATTTTCCAGGCGGTGGTGACCCTATGGCGCTTCATCCACGATGCATTGGATGCGCCTCTGAGTGCCTTGGGATGGAATGGGAGGAACGGTTCAGAACCGGGGTCATGGGACGATTTAACCAACGAAACATGGTGATTTAGTGGGATTTGATGGGATTTAATGGGATTTAAGATGGGATTTGATGACATTTTATTGGATTTCATGCCCTATAAAATGGATTACAATGGTGTAAAGTTCCTTGCTTGTTGGTGGTTTCAACATTTTCAAGCCTATGTTTAAAAAAGGAACGAGGATCCTATTTGGCGAAGCCCCAAGCATGACGACCCATGACCATCTAATCACTGGATTGGTTGAAAACAGGACATAAAAAACAGGACCGACCCACCAAAGTGATGGGGAAAACTATGGAAAACGATGGTTTCCTGTAACATTTCCCTTGGTTACCAATCCAATGATATGATCAACCCTTAAAAATGACCATAAGAACGGGATAAGAACGAGATCCCAATCTCATAGAATTTCTTGGGAGAATGTCGGACCAATTTTCAACCACAAAGTTGGGATGCTGACAATGATTGTCGATCAGAAATTGCTGAGCAGTTTTCCGAATTTGCGTCCCCCCCGGCGAAAGTACGGAAAGGGATGTGTTCAGTAGAGAAACTAGGAGTCACAAAATATGATATAAAGATATACGTACATATTTATATTCTATATTATTCTATGTTATTCTATATTATCTATATTATTCTATATTATTCTATATGATTCTATATTATTATATTATAGATTCAGAAGTTATCCACATGGATCATTGCTGGGATTGCGAAGGCCTTGGGATCCCCGTGGACATTGTGGTGAATCCCTTCATGGGCTTTCTGAGTGAGGCCGCGGCCTGTGAACCATGGGATTTTCCCAATTGGCTATGGATCAATACCTATTAATACCATTTTTAGTGGGATGAACATCCATTTACCAGCTATTTTGATGTTCACCAGGGGAACAAGGTTTTGACACACTGCCAATTGGAACTTGGTGGCTGTGCCCACACCATAGCTGCCATAGCTCTGACTCCAAGCATTGTCCCGATTGGAATCGCTGATGACACGAAACATGCACACAAAAAAGACCTGATTTCTTGTGCAACGAAGCTAAACTCAGCCAATTGCCTGGTCTTTGGGGCCCGGTGCTCTGGAATTCTTGGAGGGTTTCCAAACCATGGACAGGTTCTACCTCGAAGCAGCGACCGTCTCTTGCGGTCCTGTGAACAACGAGAAGCCTTCGGGACCGGGGCTGCCTCCACGAAATGGAGACAGTGGGAAGGTAGGGGAACCCTGGCAATCACTGAAACATTTCAATCTGGTTCCGCATGTGAAAGAATTCTGCCATTTTTTATGTCAGGTCATACAAGATGCTGATCCAGAACATCCTGTTCTGGGGATTCTCTGGGATATCCTAGATTGTCTTGTTCATTTGAAAGTTTGAATCCAGTTCAGGGTGAATTATATAGGTATATTTTGCAAACCCACACATTATCACACTATCCGAATTGTCATGACATTTTTTTGTGGCTCAAATCCACTCCGAATCAATCGTGCAGATTCAACTAATCCTGCTGATTTTCCTTTAAGACAATCCGTCGAAACTAGCATTTGTTGGTTTAGTCCTCATTTATCCAAATTCGGGTTGATTCATCCCACTACCCTCCGGTAATTCAACATAGCTATTGAACACCAGCAATGTTAGGAACATCATCTCTCTCTCTCTCTCTCCATATATATATATATACATTGTATATAATACAGTATATTTATATATAATATGTATAATATATATATAATATACATATATTATATTATTCATATTATATATAATACATATATATATATAATATATATATATATAACATTTTCAACAGCTATGTCAAATTATCACTGGCCATGCCACGGTTCTGCCTGGCAGGATGTCCATCCGTGCGGCGCAGATCGCATCGCAACTGAAACTCACGGGCTGTGCCATTGATTCTGAGGAGGCCAAGGGGGGCCACGAAGGGCCTGGGTTCTGATCCGCCTCGTTCCCCCCAGAAATCATCCAGACCTGGGAATGTTCTATGGCCATTTCTATTGCAAGAAACCAACTGCTCAAAAATCATTGTTACAAGCAATTTCTAAATTGGACCCAGGGTTGAGAGACTTTCTAACCAGGGCTATCAACCTTGTACTGCGTGGGATGCTCATGGACTCGTTGTGAACCATGCTTGGCCAACTTGTGTGGTCTTCCAGCCTTGTTTGATTGCCGGAGGCTACCCTAGTTCGGAGACTTAAGGATAACTCTTAAAAATTCTGGATCGATCAATCAACATTTCGTCCTAAATCATCAAGGATGTCATCCGGATGGTTTCGTTTCCCTCCAGATTTCAAGATCTTCGGCCCGGGAAAGCAGCCTGGGCTTGGGCTGGACATGTTAGATGAGCTAGGGAGCTAGCTGGTTGGAAAGTGGATTACGACAATTTAGAACTCAGTACAATAAGTCGTATGCGGGGGGGTTTCTCAAAAAAGGGGGATCCCCAAGTCACCATGGGTTTCAATAGTAAAATGGACTAATGACTTGGATGATTGGTGTACCCCCATTTTAGGACACCTCCATGTAAGATGCAGCATTAGTTACTCATTACATACCCAGCTGCAAGGGGACTAACTCACAAGCTCCATATGATTGTCGATCTAACAGGTCCATGTAGAGCCCCGCGCAAGATAAACGTGGGGTTCGCGAAAGATTCATGAAAGTAAGTTTTTAATTCGCGAAGCATGGTGCAGATAAAGGAACCGTCATATTTTACTTCTTTATGATTCTTTATGTATCCAGTTTCTCCCAGTTTCTCCCCCAAATGTACCTGGGGTGTTGGGAGCCCCAAAAAAGAACTCGATGGCACCCCATCTTCCCAGGAAGATGGCGCCAAAGCCGAAGATTCCAAACGCTCGGGCCGGCAGGAGGTCCCAATGAAGATACAGGGAACCCGTGAGTTCGCTGGTCTTGGTGAGTTATTCCTTCTGATTTTAAACTGCACTGGTTGGTGGTTTGGAACATGGCTTTTATGACTTTCCAATACTTTCCATATAATATATTGGGAATAATCATCCCAACTGACTTTCATATTTTTCAGAGGGGTAGGTCAACCATCAACCAGTGTAGTAATGCAAATGACATAAACAATACATAAACCCATACCATCCCATAGCCATGTGGAAGTTGCACAAGCTTTGACGAGTGTCCCGGTCGAAATCCGAAGAGCTGAAAGAGTTCGATTTCTTTGTTCGCAGCCCTAGAGGGGTTGCTCCAAGCCATAGGTAAATTATAGCCACTAGCCACCTTCCCTCCTTGGTTGGGAGCAACCCTGTACAATGTGGAATGAAACAAAGGATTTTTTAGAACATATATGTGGTTTCCTAAAAATGATGGTACCGAAATCATCCAGAATTAGATCACTTAAGTCTTAAGTAATTATTGAAACCCATGGTGACTTGGGGATCCCACATTTTAAGAAACACCCATATAAGGATACGATGGTAAGAGGTCCGGGATCCCGAATTTTAAGACACCATTCCGACTCTCAGAGTACGACATAGTACGGAACTGAGGAGCAGACGAAAGTTCTTCACGAAGTCGGAGAAGAGCTTTATGGAAGATGGCAGCAAAAATGTCATCATAGAGGCATTTTGGGTGGGTTAACCTGTGGATTTTGCTGGTAAGTACAGATCATACTGGGATGTTTTATACTTACAAAATCTTACAAACATGAAACACACTCCACAGATTCCAATTCAAATCACATCCTCATCCCAGTTTTTGTTGGAGGCCCGAAGAATCTTTTGGCAATTGTTCCATTTGTGTTCGTCATTTGGGTTGTGGCAATCTTATCAGCCCGAAAAATTCATATACATAAAGAAAATGACACAACAGAAAAATGATATACGTGATGACACAAAGGATTCAAAGGATGATTTTTGGGTAAGTGATACTATTGAAATAAATATAACATAATATAACATAATATCACTGATGGACATGAGAAAGGTAACGATTTCATCAAGTTTTAACGCCCCCAGCGGTCGCTGGAGGTGAAGTTGTTGGAGGTTAACCCGCAGCTGGTCGCAACGTCTGTGCAGCAGGCGGGTCGCTGATCAGCGATGGTCGCTGATTTCTGTCCTTTTTTGGATGCGTTTAACTAGTATTGGGTTGTATTGGGATATATGATATATATATATATATACATATGTATGTATGTATATATATATATATTATATGTATATATATATACTCAATGTATATGTATACTGTATGTATATGTATGTGTATGTGTATGTGTATATGTATATGTATATATGTATGAACCTCTCAACCTATGGGGTGATTCGAATGCAGTTTTTTCCTTTTCCAGACGTTTTGGAGATTTGAGAAAGGATGACTTCAGTGATTGCTGAAGACCCAAGTCCACAGGTTATGGTGCGGCTCTCGTCCATTGGTTTCTGCTGTGGGGAACTGGCAGAAGTGCAGGCGAAACTCTTTAAGATGGTGGGGAGCCCCAAGCTGGGACAGCGACGGCTCAACGCTCATGTTTGGATCTCCCAAAGATACTCCAGCTTTCAATCACCAAGTTTTAGTATGAAATCGGCCAGTGAATGGAAATCCCCGGTGGGGGAAGGGACGGACAGCAGTCCATCTCTGCAGCCAAGATCAACTCTGGAGATGACGACGGTTGCCCCACTGCTCGTCACAATGAAGCCCGGATGCTGATCTGCGAGGAGCCCACGTTGTTTCAGCGTTCCGGAACATGACGTGATAGATATATGTAAAACCCGTGTGGTTATCACCCGAAAATGCTGGTTCTAGAGGGAAAATGATGACACACCATCAAATGTGGGGTACGCCATATTTTCAGACACACTCATCGGCACCTTTGATTGACCTTGGATACATTGAAAGCTGAGTATCCCAGAAACCATTTATCTTTTTCCATCTTAGGATATCTTAGGCACCAACACCATCAACAGTTAAACCCTGATGATGGGTAAATCAGCTTTCTCAAGACAGGTCCCAAGAACATGGGACCACTTTTGCCCACAGCCACAATTAGCAGCAAGAGTTGAGGTCTTGCATTGTTGACATCTCACATATCGGAAAGTGCCTATGAATGCATATACCCTCTGGTGAACTAACATAGCAATGGAAAATGGCCATAGAAATAGTGGATTTTCCCATGAAAAATGGTGATTTTCCATTGCTATGTTAGTTCACCAGAGGGTAAACGTATGATATGCGTATCATTTGTCATGAGATGTAGGTGTAGAAACCCGATCTGTGCTCCCTTTTCTCGCAGCCTCTTCCATCCTCGCCATGGAAGGAGCTTCCAGATCTGCAGGAGAGTTTGTTGTACCGCGGGCAAACCTTGGCAAAGTATCTGGCCGCACGTCGGGCAGCATGGAATGGCCTGTGGGCTGCAGAATTGCCACGCCTTGGAGTCAACCAAGCAATAGATTTGGGCCCCTTGAAAATGAATAGATCCAAGTGCACACCAGGGTTTGTTTGGGGAGTATTTAATGTTAGGGGGATAGGATTAGATGTTCGCCCTTCTTTGTTGTGGTTGTTGCTGGTGAATGAGCCCAAACCACAAACCCAAACACCTTTGGGACTGGCTGAATCGCAATGAAATGGCTGGATGGCATGGGATGTGCCCTACTTAAACGTTCCATGTAAGGCCTGGTATCCGGTCATAGTTCTTTAATTCGGATCCATGGAATTATGGAACTTCAAAAAATCCGAGAAATCTCAAGGGCGTATTTCCAATGGATAGGACCTCAAGGTGAAATTTTTAGTGATGGGATATCAGCCAGGGTTAATTGAGAGGAAACCTCATGATTATTGATTATCCCACTCAACTCTCAGGCAAACCCCCAGTAATGGGTGGATCTATGAAATAGATATAAAATCACACACATCCATACATCCATACATCCATACATCCATACAACCATACATCCATCCATCCATCCATACAGACAGAAAGACAGACATACAGACATACAGACATACAGACATACATACATACAGACAGACAGACATACATACACACACATACATACACACATACATACACACATACATACACACATACATCCATCCATCCATCCATCCATCCATCCATCCATCCATACATACATACATACATACATACATACATACATACATACACACACATACACACATACACACATACATACATACACAAATACACAAATACATACATACACAAATACATACATACATGCATACATACATGCATACATACATGCATACATACATGCATACATGCATACATACATGCATACTTACATTACATTACATTACATTACATTTACATTTACCATTTACATTTACCATTTACCATTTACAATTTACATTTACATGTACATTTACATTACATTACATTACATTTACATTACATTACATTACATTACATTACATTACATTACATTACATACATACATACACACACAGACATACACACACACAGACATACACACACAGAGAGATACACACACAGACATACACACACAAACATACATACATCAATACTTACATCATTCATACATCCATCCATCCATCCATCCATCCATCCATCCATCCATCCATACATACATACATACATACATACACACATACACACACATACACACATACACACATACACACATACACACATACACACATACACACATACACACATGTACATGTACATGTACATAAATACAATACATTTACATATACATAAACATCCACATATTTGTGCATATATATATTTACATACACACACACATCATATGTACGCACGTGTATGCGCTCCCATTGTGCGTCTGCCATTTCCCATTGTACTGGGATAAGGCCTGGTCTACTATGAGCTGCGCTCGGAGTGTGGCACCTAGGTACCTGTCATGCGAAACGAGGCAAGTTCTGAGTCAATGGATTGGTCATGGATTGGAGGGAAAATCTACAGTATCTACAGGAAACCATCGTTTTTACATGTTTTTTTACCATCACATATAATTAGTTTTCCTGTGATTTTCCCCTTAAACCAGGCCAATGACTGAAGGAAATCCTGTTTGTTTGAGTCAAGTTTCAATGAATAATCTGAGACACTTCAAACATCTATAAGTCTTCTTCGAAGTGAAAACAGAGTTGTTTGTTCGATCTCACTTCTCAATCTCCAAATGGAGATTTTCGAACGCCGACCTCATCTACCAATCTTCTCTGCGAAACATCGCGTCCCAAGGCTGTTCGAAAAGTTGTACTTCAAGAGCTCCATGGGTGGAACACCGACTCCCTCGGGCAGCATCACCCCAGGTGGGCACCAACTGAGGGAGCCGAGACCAAGAAGCCTCGTGCAACTGGGGTATATCTCGGATTATCTCGGTTCCTACTTTTTAGATCTGGCTCATTTAATCACAGTCATCACCCACTTGCTATATCTGATTTGGAGCCCCTGAGCTTAAAACAAATCCTTCGATATCTCTGAGGTGCTACAATGACCAGCACGTTTCTCCCAGAGAATGCTGGTACCACACTGACCCTCAAGGCAGAGAGTGCAACTTGTTGGGGAAGGGGTCGATTTGAAGTTCGAAATGGAGGGGAATCATGGAATATTTGTGGCATCTCCAAAGACCCTGAAGGAACTGGGACTCAACTATAGGAAGTTGACACGTTCACCATCAACTATGCAGACCCGATCATATTGGGACACATCATGATGTGATATAACTACCCCATAAGGATTGTTGTTTCCATGATCACTTTGAAGATTGTCTTCTTATCTGACTGCAGGATTTGCATGGCTTTGCCATTAACATCCATTAACATCCATTAATCGGATCTCTCAAGTCCCACTGGTTGCAGAACCAGTGCTCGACTCTCAGGACGTGGTCCTGAGTCGGCAAAATAGCTTTCTCAGTTCGTTGCTCAGCTCCCCCAAGAATCCGAACAACTCCAGAGAAAGAAGATGCAAAATGATCCAAACATTTCTCCAAACAATGTCGAAAAACAATCCTGAACACATCCCCAAAACACTCCCTTATATATATATATGTATGTATGTATATATGTAATATGTATATATGTATATATGTATATATGTATATATGTATATATGTATATATGTATATATGTATATATGTATATATGTATATATGTATATATGTATATATGTATATATGTATATATGTATATACCAGCTAAGCCTAATACATATAAATTATTACGAATTCCAAAAAAAAGTAATATTTTTTTGGAGTTGTAGAAATTCTTGCGATTTGACAAATCGTTGCGAGAATTAGGTTTGGATACTTAAGAATGCATATTTTAGTTTATTTTGATGATTGTGAATTATGTGATGTAGGGCTTAAAGTATATATGTTTTATCTGTAGCTGTTTTGCTTGATGGGGGTGGCCTTAACCACCTCATACCCGGCAGCATGTGAATGGTGCGGCCGGCAAGTTGTTTTTGATGCAATGTTCATTGTAACCTCTACTGCTCTCTGCATTTCCATTAAAAACATATTTGTAATTCAGAGTCTCGGCTCTAGGGACTTCATATAAACTGAGGCCACACAAACCACACTAATTTGTGTCATTAATGACATGTAATTTAGAGTCTCGGCTTCATGGACTTCATATAAAGTGGGCCCATCAACCACACTAATTTGTGTCATTAATAACATGTATAATTTGTAATCCAGAGTCTGGGCTTCAAGGACTTCATAAAAACTGGGCCCACAAACCACGCTAGTTTGTGTTTATAATTAATTAATCTAAATTCTATAATTGGACTCATAATTATAAAAGTCAAGACGACTTAGATTTAACTTAATTAATATTGCACCTATTGCAGCCATGGCGCATTGGGCCGTGAAGACTGATGAGGAGCTCGACATGCTCTGTTTGAGGATGATGCTTCTTCGGGTGCCAAAGGAGCTGGGGCTTTAGCTTAAACCTTGAAAAAATTCTTTACAATACGTTAAATGGTAATCCCCTCCAGAATTTAACCTTTTGTGCATTTTTTTGTTCAAATCCCTGCAGGCATTTGTGTGGCTGACGGTGATGGTATACTATGCTCGCAATATGCCAGCAGTTCCTGAGGCCAGGATGCTGAAAAAAACAACCATGTGCAGTTAATGGTATAATTATGGAAGCTGTCCCTGCAGGCGTTTGGTCTGTGTGAATTTTTTGCCGGAGATGGCCATGTCGGGAGAAGTGCGAAATTTGCTTATTACAGCACTGCCCAGCTGGACATCAACTATGGCAAGATGACTGTACGAAAAGGCAAGCAGAACAGCTTCGACATGACAACAGCAGCAGGCCTAGCGAGCCTCGTCAAACACTGAAGAACTTTGAAATTTTCAAAGTACAAAAAGCAAACAAAACTTTGGGACTTGATGCTGACCACCCTTTGCTATTGAGGCTTTGCATATGGGTGCTCCTGAACGCCAACCCGTCTGGATTCCTGGCACTATTTGCTGTGGTTTGCACTTCCTTTTCTGCAATCAATGTTGGCACGAGCAAACGCACACCAGCTACTCCATGGGGAAATTGTGCTTTGCCTCATGTTCAGGCATTTTGGCCAGCAATTTAGATTTTGATCAAAGTTTTTCGAGTAGATTTGTGTTTTTTTTGGATTTTCGGGGCTTGCTTTGTGCTGATCAATTATAGTTCTGAGGTTGGAAATTGTCTTCTTTCCAGAGTAGTGCTGCTACAGTATTTAGTTACATGTCTTGGCGGAACCTGGGCAACGGAGCAGCCTTCGAGCTCGCGTTTGCCATGGTACCCCCGGTGGGAGGAATTTATGCTTCGAGTTCGTGCTTGGCGAGTAGGATGGTGGGCCAGGCACTATGGTGCCCTTAGCCCGCAGCTTGCTCTCACAAAAACGAGTAAATTTTCTGTAGTATGATGAAATCGGGATGCAATTGTATCAGTACTTTTTCACGATTTATTTCTATTTTTTGTGTGTTTTATGAACACCTGGCCAGGAAACGCCATCGGGCCTGGGCAAACAGCCAAGAGATTCACATTTTGGACCGAGGTGTTCTCTCGAAGAAAGCACGTGCAGCTTGCGTCCTCAAAACTACAACCAAAACCAAGAAGGGAAACAAGACCCAATTCCAAGGCAATCGATGGCTGAAGGGCACACAGTCATATCCAATTTCATTTGGTCTTCGCATTCTGCGCTTCCTACCCCAACTCCAGAAACATGGACAAGGTCAACCAGTACTACCCCAAGATGCATGTGGTTGGGATGCTCCAGCTCAATTCGAAGCCTTGGAGTGGAACCCAGAGGAATGGTCTGAGGCATATATACTTGAAGCTTGTATATATATGAGAGGCTCCACCAACCTTAGGGTTCCAGACCGGTGGAAGCGTGTTTTCCCAACAACCTACTGAGTTGAAAGATTTTTAGCAATTTGAAGGTAATTTTAAGGATTGCTAAAAGCATCATGTAACTCACAAAAATGTACCCGGAGAAATTCAAAAAGTTGCTCAAGGGGCCGGAGAAAATGCAACTACGAAGCGGAGAAAATACGTACCCGGACTCGTTGCGAGAATTTCCCGGACTAGTTGCGAGAAATAGCGGATTCGTTGCGAGAAAAAGTTGCGAGAAATAGCGGAGTTTGAGCATGTATCTCGTAATAAACGTGAAAAAAACACATGAACATTTTTTGTGTTTTTGTGGTTTTTCTTTCCCAGAAACGCAGAAATATGCAAATATGATGCCAAAGCTTACTGACTTGGCCTATCCAAGGTGTTTTTGGCCCAAAGTGATAGATATGGTGTCTCGCTTTCAAAGCAGGTCCTGGTCGTGTTCAGAACTTGTTAGGGGTGCTGCACAAGTCGTTGATTCAATGGCTTCAATGTCTCCTGATGCCATGGTTGTCCAGCAGCGACGCCACCTCTTGAGTGAGACGGCAGACCTTTCGGCAGACGATATCCAGAAACTCCTTGAGGAGCGACACTTATGTTAATGTTTCCAAAAATAATTTAACCCACTTCAATTTTTTATGAACCCAATTCCGATTTATCAGACTTATGAGATAACCCAGTGTCTGTTTTAAATTGAATGCAGTTTAAATCATAATTTAAGCTGATGTTTCACCGATTTATGTTTGACACTTTGCTTAATGTAATATAAATCTGTAATTAATGCCTGGAATGAACTTCTGTCTATAATTACTGTTCATAAACCTGATTTTTAAGATACAATCACATATTTAACATGTGATATTCATAGAGTGATAGACTAAATCGTTATCTCTAACCAGAACAAAAGCTATTTTTAATTAATTCACGGCGCAAGGAGACCAATGTGCAGCTTGAGCAGCACGACATTGGAGATCACTTGCCCCAAGTCGAGCCACAGCTGAATTTGTGGGTTGCTTCCCTGTTGATTGCTTCTTTTCACTGTTTTGTGTAGTATCTAAGGAACGGTGGAGTGTGCCATCTATGTCTTGGAGGAGTGCGCGATTTTCCTTTCGAAGATTTTGGATCATCTCCCAGCTTTGAAGCGACCATGTACAGCGCAGCGGCTTCTTGGCTTAAATATTCCAGCAACGGCTCATGGCTCTTTAGGTTCGACCATGCTACAGAAATTCTGAGGCACAAGCTCCTTGGGACTCTATCTCTCCTTTCGTGGAGATGCTGCCAAGTCAGACAGGCATGCCTGGTTGGCTATTTCGCCCGGACATCTTCCACAACTGGCATTTAGGTGCTGGAAAGTACTTTATAGCGAGCTCATTGGTGGTCTTGCAAAAGTTTGAGATGCTTTTTCCAGGTGGTGGTGTGGATGCCAGGTTCCAATCTATGACAGCTCGATGGATGGAATATTGCAGGTCCAGGAAAGATGCTCATTAAAAAGTATAGTTCTATTTTTTTATAATATGTGTTATGTATTTTTGGGCACTGATAGGTTGGATTTTGCTTTTGCATTTTTATTTGTTTCCTTTGTCTTTGTTTGGCATTGAGGAATGCCCCTACCTGACCAAAATTGGGCGTGACACTATGGGTTTTAAAACATCCTTGGACTGGCCTGAAGGAGGATGGCAAAAAGGTGCAACGACCACCTTGCTCATGGAAACTTGGGTATTATATAAATCAAGCATGCTAAACTCACTAAGCTTTTTTAAATTAACTTATAATTATAACTTAACTTGAACATAAACCCACGGGAGAAACTATAAATTCGATCACAATTGAGTCTCTTGACTTTAAATGTGTTTTAAACAATCTTTATGTGTTACTTAAGCTGGCTTGTGTACCAAGAATGTTTAAAATGTGTGAACAACTTAAGGAATGGATGGAAAGCTTCCTGACCGATGATGTGGTTAACCATTTGGCCGACCTTGACGCCAGAGTTCCCTTGATTGCAGTGGTCACCCGGAACACCAATGAGCTTTTCAGGTTGCTTTACAGCAATGGAGCCTGGCTACATTGCACCATTGCGGCAGAAGTTGCTCGCAGGGGTTTGCTGTCTGTGCGTGCCAACAAGAGATTGGCTCAGGTTTCTGTCCAGCTTTGTGAGCCTAGGTACCCAATACATCCTAAGCTGCATATGCTTTTCCATGGCTACCGCTTTTTAGAACAGTGGAGCCTGGATCATGAGTGGTGTGAATCACCATTGGTCGACGGGTGTCAGGTCGACGAGTCTTTTGTTGGAGTGATAAGTAGGTATTCTAGACGAGTATCTCCAAAGATTACTGTCCAAAGGACATATGATCTCTACTTGACCTCTATGAGGCATCATGTACAGGGGGATGATCAAAATTAGGGGAAAGAAAAAGAGTTGCGAGAATCCCTGGCTGTTGCGAGAATCCCCCAATCAACCCGGAGAATTGCGAGAAATCTGAAAAATTGTTTCTTTTTTCGGGAGGAGTAACTATTCTTGCAATTTTGGCTATGTTGGTATGTATATATGTATATATGTATATATGTATATATGTATATATGTATATATGTATATATGTATATATGTATATATGTATATATGTATATATGTATATATATGTACATATGTACATATATATATAGATCTTTTGAAAGATTTGCCAGGCCCGGCCGGCTCATCTCAGGTCTCATTGAACAGACTCCCAACATCTTGTTGGTCAGCTTCGTGGCCGAGCTTGGCATCGAGCTGACGCATGCATGGCTCTATGTCACTCGCCTGGACGTAGTGGCAGAATATCTTGAAATATCCCACATTCTATCCGCTTTTTTATCCAGGGACAGGATGATTGTGTATATCTATGTGTATATATGTATATGTATATAATTATGTATATATATAAATATGTATATATGAATATATGTATATACATATATATGCATATATGCACATATGGATATATGTATATGTGTATGTATCTATATATGTATATGTGTATATGTGTATATGTATATATATATATGTATGTATATATGTATATATGTATATATGTATATATGTATAAAGGTATATATGTATATATGTATATATGCATATATGTATATATGTATGTATGTATATATGTAAATATGTATATATGTATATATATACATATATATATTTATGTATTTATGTATATATGTATAAATGGATAAATGGATAAATGTATTTATGTATTTATGTATATATGTATCTATGTATATATGTATATATGTATATATGTATATATGTATATATGTATATATGTACATATGTATATATGTATATATGTATATATGTATGTGTAAACGTATATGTATAAATACAGATGTATATATGTATATATATAGGCACTATTAGTATGCACACATACATACCAATATAGAGATGATAATAATATAATAATAGTAATAATATATATATATACATATGTATATGAAGTTGTAATATCACATACATAAACATGTCATACTACATGTATACATTCTGGTGAAATGCATTTAATGTACGCACACACACATAATGATGTGTCAGATATTCTATCATTTGTACATATCCATATGCACATGTATATCATCATGTCCCAAGGTCTATCATCATGTCTCACGTTTTTCCATCCACGGTTCGGTGCTTTTTTGACACCGAAAACGAGGTGATTGTGGATTACCTCCGAAGGCAAAAACTGGACCAGGCCGCCGTTGGATCCAAGGGATCCCATGGGACGTGGCGAATGATGGGTTTAGTTTCCCCAGTTACATGTAACAAATGGTGGTGAATGATGGTTGATGATGTAACAAATGATGGTAAATGAGCTTAAAAACAAATTAACCATCATTCACCACCATTTGTTAACCATCATTAACCATTATTAACCATCATTTAATGATGGTCCCAAATTTTCATGGGAGAAGCTACTGAACTTGGGACTCATCTCACTTCGTAGAGGGCAGGGGAATGATCGTCCGGGTACTGTATGGCTCAAAAATGGGGCACCAATGGACCACTGCCAGGTCACTTTTAAATACTGTATCTTTGGAGTCTTGTGCATTCTTAATCATACAAAGAAAACAACTATTTTTTTGGGTATGTTTCAAGCCACTCGCATGGCTGTTGGTCAAAATCCAAGCAGCTGCCGACAAAGACGGAATCCTTGGTGATTTGTAGGTTGATCTTATTTGGCAGATGATTCCAACCTTACACACATCATACAAATCAACTATAATCAACTCATATATCATATCTAGGTGTATATACGTATATGATATGTGTGTGTACTCAAGTACGCAATTACGTATGTATATTTACATATTCATGTGTATATGTTCACATACAAGATTTGTATGTACGTTTACGTTGAACATGAAACCGGTGAGCCGATCGAAGCTGGCAGATTTGCGAGTATTTAGAGAGTGACCAAGAAGCGCTCAGTCGATCGTGCGGGTCTCAGTGATGTTGTTTTCCCATGTTTTCTTTTGAAAATGGGTGATGTTTTGCTCATGGAAACCAAAAAAAACACATCCTTATGTTTGAACATGTGTTTTTGCCAAGAAATATCGGGTGCTCAACCCTATTTACAATTTGTGAGTGGACTGGGGAATGTTGAGCACTAACCCATGAAAATGGAAGATAAAACCAAGACTATCAATATACCATTTGTATATTAATGTTGAATAATCCTCTCTAGCAATTTAAGGTTCAATGGTTGAAGAGGACATCTGCAGGAAACAATGTTTGTTAGATAACACATGGATGTAGACTATGTAAAAAACCTTGAGCAGAATATGGTCCCCAACCACCGATACACACGCAAATCCATTGCAATCTAAGCGGGGCTACAATTGTAACTACATACAACTATCATAATATACCGTACCATACATACCACATCATACCATACCATATCACGTCACAACATACCATACTTGTAATCATCCACAACTATCCATTACCACAACCATTGTGGTTGGATCAGCAGCACCTCACAACGAGGATTGACTCCATGATGCAACTGACGCGGAAGCGGGTGCAAACCACTGCTCTTGGAGGTGTCGGGTTTTAGCGAACAGGAATCATAGTGGTGATGATTTTTCCAGATCATTCAGCCATACATATTATTATGATCTACTATCACCAGTTTGATAATATTCAATATACAATTAATCATATCTTGGGTCATAATACACTGACAAATTTTAAAACATCAGATCCCTATTCAAAGTGATGGTCATAATAGCAATTTCGTTCAAATGGGTCATTGTATCATGATCTATTACGCAGTCCCAAAAAAGCAGCAAGTAGTCCATCGAGAATTTGAATTGGTACTCTTTGGTGATTTGTTGAAAGTCGTTCCAAGTCTTCCCACTGAAGAAACACCTAATGTGGGAGTCACCCTGCCATCTGGACTATCCCCAAGTCACCATTTGTATGGGTGGGATTGCCCGATTGCCCCAGTCATGGTAGGTAGAAATGGCAGCCGTTCCCCACATTGAAACCACATGGCCTGTGCCTGCAGTCAGCAGGTTTGACCCATGAAGATTGTCGAAACGTGGAGAAGAGGCTCGAAGAGGTGCTGTGTTCCAACGCAACCTGAGTTCTTGATGGAAACGGGGGAACATCTAAGTTCTTTCTTACAAAATACCTCAAGATAAACAGAAACTACTTAAAGATGGCAAAGATTGAAGTCCAGTTGTAGTCTGGCTTGGTGGAATATGGATCCAGAATTCACCAACCGTTCGTCGAGAAAAAGGCCACGTTGTGATGTGGGTTGATAGTTGCACGACGGGACTCGCATCTTGGAGGATCACCTCACTTGTTTTCTAAGTGCTTTGAAACTACGGCATTTCCTCCCCACTTTATACATGATGGATAAATGATGATATATTGATATGTATGATATATATATATATATATGTATAATATATATATATGTATATATATATGTATATATATATATGTCCGCTGACCTCACAACGTGCAAACTGTTGCACTCGATCGCTCAAAGAGTCCCTGCGGATGATCACTTGCTGAAGACCCATTTAGAAATGTGCTCACACACCAGTTGCAAATCAACATATATATATAAATGTAACTACATATATATATATATAAATATGTATATATGAACATATGTCTAGATATGTCTATATGTCTAAATATGTATAGATGTATATATGTGTATATGCACATATGCATATGGATATATATATATACATGTATGTATCTATGTACACATATACATATGCATATGTTTATTTCTTATATATGTACATAAATGTACATATATATATTAATAAACATGTATATATATAAATATTTGTGCATACATGTACATGTATGTTATATGTATATATGTATACATATGTATATATATATATCTGTATGTAATTTAATGTAATATAGTGTAGGGTAATGAAATGTATGCAGTGTAGTGTAGTGTGTAATGTAATGTAATGTTATGTAATGTAAGTGAAGTAATGTAATGTAATGTAATTTAATCTAATGTAATGTATGCAATGTTAAGTAATGTATTGTAATGTAATGTAATGTACTGTAATGTAATGCAATGTATGTAATGTATGTATGTAATGTATGTATGTAATGTAATGTATGAATTAATGTAATATATCTATTAATGTAATGTAACGTAATGCAATGTATATAATGTAATGTATTGTAATGTATGTATGTATTTATGTTATGTATGTGCGTATGTGTGTAATGTAATGTAATGCAGTGTAATGTAATGTAATGTTAAGTTATGTTATGTTATTTACGTATGTATGTATGTCTGTCTGTATGTACTGTATGTATGTATGTAATGTAATGTATTGTAATGCAATGTACTGTACTGTAATGTACTGTATGTATAGGGTTATGTTATGTTATGTTATGTCATGTTATGTTATGGTATGTATGTAATGTATGTAATGTATGTAATGTATGTAATGTATGTAATGTATGTAATGTATGTAATGTATGTAATGTATGTATGTATGTATGTATGTATGTAGGTATGTATGTATGTATGTACGTATGTACGTACGTACGTACGTATATATATATATCTACATTTGTTTTTGTTACATAAAATACATTATATACATTTTATGCATTATATACATTATATACATTATATACATTATATACTTTATATACTTTATATACATGATATACATTATATACATTACATACATTATATACATTATATACGTTATATACGTTATATACATTATATACTGAATATCTCATCAATCAATCAATCAATCAATCTATCTATCTATCTATCTATCTATCTCTCTCTCTCTCTATCTATCTATCTATCTCTCTCTCTCTCTCTATCTATCTTTATCCATCTCTATCTATCTCTATCTATCTCTATCTCTCTCTCTCTCTATCTCTCTCTCTCTATATATATATATACCTATGTACAGTAACATGGGAACACCTCCAGGATGGTGATCGGAAGTCGATTTATGAGAATATCCCAGGTGCAACGGCTGTCGCAGTGTTTGATTGAGGAGATCCAATCTCGAACGGTTGGGCGCTGAGAGATTCCGAAAAAAAATATGGGTATGTCTGAAATGGGGATCCTTTGGTATGCTGTTAAATGATCTGGTTATTTTAAGAGGCCATATCTATTCAATAATCTGAAAATTGCTATTTTAAGAGGGAAAATGATTAGCCAGCAGATCGAGGGGTACTCTGTTATGATTGGCCGAAATTAAGGAGGGCATGTGCTCTGGTGGTAACAATGGTAAACCCAAGTAGAATAAACCCGCTGTCCATCAGGAATTGACACACTCCTTGTCGGTTTGAATTTGGGTGAGTCAGCATAATTGTCACATTATGGGTTCATTTCCCCAAAAAAACAGGAGAGTCAGCAACAATTTATCGTGTTCAGCATAGGTTTCTACATCCAGTCATTCGGTGGATGTACAAAAAACACAGGTATGAAAACAACTCAGTACAGGATGATACAGGACGTTTTAAACGTATGGCTCAGTTTCCAAAGGAGATAGTCATCCCATGTTCATCACAGTTTCTATACGGAAAACAATTTTTTGATGCCATGGCCATTCCAGGCTGAAGAATTGGCGCGCTATGCAGCCAAGCTTCGAGGACCGGAGGGACCGCCCAGCCAAGCCCAGCTGACAATGACCAGTCTGCAGGCGAGCTTCCTCAAGGTGATGGCAATGTCCCAGCCTCGATGGTGGACAATTTCTGTGACCAGTTTTTTATGGGCGGATTCCAAAGCTATCAAGACGCAACAAAACTTGTGATCTCGGCAGCAAAGACGGACATTTAAGCCATAAATCAGAATATAAGATGTTACAAAACAGTTCTTTTCCCTTCTTTTGTAGAAAATAAGATATTGGATTAGACTAGGATTCAAGTCAATAAAATTGAATTTAAATCATACACATATTAAACATCCGAATGTGGGAAAGCCACTGCCATAAAACTACCAAACTTGGGGATGGTTTCCACCCATAAAATTGGTGATGACTTGGGGATGCTGAGCATGGCATGGGGTGAATCCCACGTTATAATCCCCTCAACATTAAACACCCCCTACATAGTAATAAATGATGTGTACGTTTCCTATAAAAAACCATAGTCTTTGGGTGGTGTATCATATTTTTCGTCCTAATCTTAAATAGGATCAAACCAATAATCAAACAAATAGGCTCAAGGGATTCATTTAAATTTATTTTTTTTGAGTCAAACCATGGTTAAACGATGTCAAAACATCCCCCTGTTTTTTCAACGGGATGGGAGACTCTGCTAGGCGCGCGATCGGTCCCAAACACCACCTCCGAAGGCTCATCCCAGGCATGGCCCACTGGCGACTGGCGTCGTTGTGGTAACGCTTGAATGAAAGTCCCGAAAGTCGATAGGAAAGGCAAATCCTACCCTCTGGTAAACTAACATATTGAAAATGGCCATAGAAATAGTTGATTTACCCATGAAAAATGGTGATGTTCAATAGTTATGTTAAATTACCAGAGGGTAAATCTAAGAATCAGCCTGCATCTATCAAGGGTCGAATGATTCTAATGATATTTCCTTTCTTGATGTCGAAATGAAACATCGCATGAAACGATCGTTTAATCTTCCTCAGAAAGTGATGTTGATGGAGGAAATGAAGGGACCTTGTAGTACTGTACCCGAAATAGAGATGAGGTTGAAGCAACGTCTACAAATTCTATGGATCCCTTCCCGGATTATTAGATACCCCCCGAGGATTTCATACAGCCAGAGATCTGATCGGAACCAGGTCGGCCTCCCCTGCGACTTCGCAATCATGTGCCTCGGGGGGGCACTTGAGTCATTTCAGCTGCTGAAATGGGGATTAACATGATTTAACCATCGATCATCAGCACTTGTGTAGGTTGTGAGTAACCAAGATACGAACCTTTTGCGCGTAGCCCTGGAAATAAGACTTGACGCAACAAACATAGGGGTATAAAGCAACAATAAAGGGGATCTTTTACGGAATACAACCGACCTCGTGACGTGATACATCGCTGAAGCGAAAACTGGGTGCCCAACTCATGGCCATCCCGTGGGTCCAACTGGGGCTTGAGCCTGAAATTTGACCACTGAAGAGGTTTTTTTCTGATGGTTGATGAATGATAGCCTATGATAGCCTCCTGTGATTTGACGTAGATACGGAAATAGCCCATTTAGAAATGATTTAGCCATATTTCCCAGTGAAAATGGTGATTTTCCATAGCTTTGAGGGGTATCAGACGGTTTTCTCGCCTCTGGAAGAATTGGTGAAATCAGGGAGACTTCATGATACACGGAGCAGATTACCCGGCGATCCGAATGTAGAACTGAAGATGGTTTTTGTTACATATACATATCTTATATATATTTCCTACATTCAAAGATGAGAAGATCTCACTTCAGCCAATTTGCATTATGAAAATTGTGGTTTTTCATCTGGAAGAGAAGCATGAAAACCAGTGCAACTTAAGCGTCGTTGGCGCCAGTCGCGGCGGAAGTGTCCCTGTCACCCCGCGGTGCATCGCCACTGCCGTGACTGCCTTAGAGTCGGGCTGGGCCTTGGAACTGCCGTGAAGCCTCACGAATCCCCAGAGGGTTTCGTCAAGTTCTTACCAATACAATCCAATACACATACCCACATTTGCTCCATGTATGGAATGTTTACCTACATTTGGGCCATTTTTGGGGTAAATGTAGTTAGATATTCCATACATTGAGCATTTGGGATGAGTATCCATGAGTTAGTTTGTGAACAGGCTGTCCTCAGGTTGGTATTGTCTTCCAATTTGGACACGGCTTCAAATGGTTGATCCCAAGATTGGTTTGACATTGACATAGCGACAGGCGTAGAACATCGGAGAACGCCCCGATTTCGGGCCTTTGGTAGCTTTGGTTCAGAATTTCTTCGCCATTTCCCTGCCGTTTTGGAGATGACGACTTGGGATGACTTGGCATTCGAGAACTGGTTCCAGTCGTCCACTCCACTCGTTAACGAAAGTTACCATGGGATGTCTCTGGCATTCTCTGGCCAGGGACAGTCCAAAAGACCTTCATGGCACTTCAGGCAAAAGGTGCGATTGTGTCCTCGTCGCGCTGGGGCCAGTGGCTTTCCTGGCTTTCACCCAGTGCTGATAAGCTCCCCCAACTCAGCCAGGTTGCTACGGGCTGTGTTTCACCTTCTCTAAGGATGTGCAAGGTAACCATAATTATTTATATAGTTAAATAAATAAATATATATATATATATACAGTAGTCATTTATGATATTTATACTCATATGATATCATATGTACTGTATATGTATATATATATATACATGCATAGACTTATATAGATATGTATTTATATGCCCACACCCCCATGATCTACCAACACATGTCTCCATTGCAATAAAAAAGGATACCCAAGATACATGTGAGCTTTACCACAGAAACAGATGTATGGTCGAAGGAAGTTTAGAAGTCAAACTTCCGGCAATATGGACAGATGAAAAGCAGAGCAGGGAAGAGGCAGAGAGAAGAGAAAGATTAGAAGAAAGAAGAGTAAGAAGAAAGAAGATGCAGATGCGTGAAAAGGTAGGAAAGTCGCGAAACACTGTGTTTTTCCAATGATTTGGGGCTCCGGAGGTCGAAAAGTAGGCTCGCTAAAGCGACGGGTGCGGAGCCA